TATTATTGTTATTATTATATCTTTATTGCATGCAATTCAAATACAAATAACCTAATATTCACAAGTATACCTACAAAATATGCTGAACTGTTTTGGAATTTTGCGTATTGACATGATAATATCAGGAGTAAGATAATATAGTACGGTAAGATATCTTACTCCTGATAATATAGCAGTGAACTTACGCGCTTTTCGTGCCTGGTGTTACGTAATTTATTCTTCTAGGTATATAAGTAGGGTTGCTTTGGAACATGATCGGCATTCATTTGGTAATACGCACGCCAACCACGGTCAGTTTATAGATTGTTAAATATCCCCCAACAAAGCAATTTTCTGTAATTTATTTTAATTAAGTCAATAATATTATATTATCTAAGTTTTAATATTGTAATCAGTCGACAATTATTATTATAGATATTTAATGCGCATATAAATGCAATATATATATTTTTATCTATAGGCCTATATCTAGGCAATTGTCCAAATATACATACTGTTACAATGAATTTGAACTTCAATAATTTATATAACTACCAAGCATATATACAGAAAAAGTACAACAAGCTGACTTAATTACATTGTGGTCATTGCAACATCATTTTTGATTATAACAGCAGAACTTTGGACAATTAAAGTATACATGTTTGCAACCTTAACAAGTTAAACTTTTGGTTATTCACTCCTGATATTATCCAATAGAGTAATCGATTAAATATATATATTGATATATTCAATTATAAAATTGAAATAAAATTTACGTTTTCAGTAATAAGGTCGCAAAAGAACTAACGGGGACGTTAAAAACTATCCTAACTTCGTGCCAACAAGGAGATCTGTGTGGCGCATGCATGACCAAGCTGAAGCACATTAGGATGTGGCTGATCGAGGAACAGAGCGGAACGGCAAAACGCGTTTTGCGTTACGGAATTTTGTGTTACGGCAATTTTACCAACAAAAACGCCCTTACAAAATCCAGAAGAAGCCGTCACTGGAGTATATATATATATATATATATATATATATATATATATATATATATATTATATATATATATATATATATGCGTTATTTGAGGTCCGGAGCAGGCGGGGTACTACCCCATAGATATTGTTTGAATCTTTGACTTAGAAACGCGTATCCTGGTGAACACGTTGAAATTCGCACGCGGCTCTGTTGTTGTTCTCCGCGAAGCCGTTGCTAGTATGGCAATAGAGTATAATATTCTCTGTATGGCATGCACGCATGATTTTTATTACTATACTCCGATTAGAGAATACTCAGAATACCAACAAGGATTGGAACACTACACAACACAACGCGGCGACGTAACGCGACGCGACGTAACGTAACGCAACGCAACGTAACGTAACGTAACGTAACGTAACGTAACGTAACGTAACGTAACGTAACATAACATAACATAACATAACCGACGATTTAGAGAATACAGGCGTATTCCTACGTGCTTTTCAATGAAGTAAAGGTTTGTGAGGGTCAAGCTCACAGGATGGGCCGGGTATTCAATCGGGATGAGCATTCTCATGCATGGGCACGCTGCCGTGCTCGCTGTTTCTGGTTCCCATCTGCTGTACGCATACATAAGATAGGCGGCAAATATGGGAAGTATGTATGTATATATATATATATTATATATTTTACCAGAATACGCTTATCAAAAGCAAAAGCAATATCAATTGATATTACGTGCACTGCTCTGACCAGTGGCCGAACAGCACAACATTTGGTATCGAAGTTGATGATAAATTGATAATATGTTTTCACGATAGATGGCGCGAGGCGATGTTCCTATGATGAAAAGTGTGTTGTTCATGCGTAGTTTTCTGGTAATAACAAATCTTATCAAATTAGTATAAAATCATGCTTTTAAGGTCGACATTTAATCTCATTCGTACATGGAGGTCACACGCAACTACAGAAACGCTGTTTGTGCGGAGGCAATTTGTAAATATATTGTAATCTAGCTTGTTAAAACTAGGTCATTTATGATGGTTCTACGCAGTTGGGGCGTGGATCACTGCCAGCAGATCAAGCCCGCACGTATATGGTTGGCCACAAGTGGGACAAAATCAAGAATACATGACTACATATTATATGCCCATATAATCGACCAATGGAAGAGAGGAATATATGCCCGCATATAATCGGAGCCAATCAAATCAAGAGAATTATGTCCACCATAAATAAACTTCCGTCCCCGTTTTGACCACATTCCGTCCCCAAAAATATCAAAGGAATTATGTCCACCATAACTAACTTCCGTCCCCGTTTTGACCGTTTAGACGCATTGTCTGTTCGCTTGTACAATGTAATGGCATGTATGCTAGCGCTTGCAGATTATGCTATGGCCTTGCGCCCGCTAGATTTTCACGTGTGGCTAGACTGGTCGCGCGGAACTGTCGTCGCAGAGCGTGTACATGTGTAGAGAGCGTGAGCCGGATACCAGTCCAATAACATTATGCAATTGTAAAACGGGGACGACGCGAAGTGTAAAACGGGACGGAAGTTATTTATGGTGACATAATTCTTTGATTTTTGGACGCGAAGTGTGTCAAAACGGGGACGGAACGTTATTTGATGCGTGACATAATTCTTGATTTGTTGGCTGCCGATTATATGCGGGCATATGATGCAAGCTATTCGATTATTATGCGGGCATATATTCCCGCTTCCCATTGTCGATTATATGCGGGCATATAATTATGTAGTCATGTATTCTTGATTTTTGTCCACTGTGGCCAACCCATACACGTACAGCACACACGCGGCGCCATTGACTATATATATACAACATGTGTTCGAACTCGCCGCCGCAGTTTCCACAACTCACCTTTAAATCAGTTACAAACTCCCGTGTTACCTGCAGGTGACGCACTTTCCAACTATCGTTGGAATCACGGAACATTGCTTAACAATATACACCCGGCCAATTTTGACAATCGCGCCCGCCAGAATGCGCTTAAATCACAGAAATTCCTCAAATATACTTGCTAAATATACTTAGCCTGCTACTGGGTGAAGAAGGCGCTGGGCTGAACCGTTGGCATGGCTGCGCCTGATTGGCTGCAGCAAGTTATAATGCGCAGACAGGCTGCGAACTACGCTTGTTGACATCGCGGGTGAGTCATGCCTCATGGTATGCGCAGCCGCCAACGGTTCAGCAGCGCCTTCTTCACCAGTAGCAGGCTAAGTATCATTTAGCAAGTATATTGAGGAATTTCTGTGACTTAGAGCGCATTCTGCCGGCCGATTGTCAAACTTGGCGGTGTATATTGTTAAGCAATGTCCCTGATGATTCCAACATAGTTGGAAAGTGGCGTCACCTGCAGGAACACGGAGTTGTAACTTGAAAACGTGAGTTGTGGAAACTGCGGCGGCGAGTTCGACACCATGTTGTATATATATAGTCAATGGCGCCGCGTGTGTGCTGTACGTGCGGGTTGATCTTGCTGCCAGTGGCGTGGATGGGCGATTAATAGCACGCTATTATAGTTTACGCTGCCTACTTCATTTATATACGCTATATTTATATGTTAGCTTTTAATATATCTGAGTCTAACCTATGATGGCTAGGCTATACTTCTGAAGACAGTCGGCTTTACATCTGAGCACTGACTCAGCAGGGTTAGTAATGACAAATACTGAAATAGTAATACTTGTATCATAACCTAGTCCCTAGTCCCTATCCGAGATTCCTCGACCAATCCCACACGACGATTTTGTGGATTTTGGTGTGGTTAGGTCAGAGCAAACTTGCCATAGATAGCAAAACGTGGAATTTCTCCGATCCCGCCTAGGATCGCTGTTTCATCGCTCCAAACTCACGCTGAGAGGGTCTAGATGTCCCCCGGGGTACTGCCGGAACGTACCTCTGGGTACGCGTGTCGGTATACCGAACGTACCCTGGCGTACGACCGTCGCAACTGATACCGGAACGCTACCCTGGTACTATCTAATATGCCGGCCGTACCTCGCCCTAGCTCCATTAACGCAGTCTAGAGGAGTCGCCTACGCCTGACTCCCCTACTCCTAACCAATACACGGCCTAACCCTAACATATCAAAGTAGTGACAGGCAGGTACGTTCCCGTTATACCGCGACCGGTTACCCAAGGGTCACTTCCTGGCAGGTACCCTGGGGGAATGAGCACGCCTATGAGCCAAACTCACAATTGGGCTTATCATTCAAGACCTGACGCCACATCAGCTTTCACGCCGCTACCCTGGAATTCCATAAAATATCCTTAAATTTGAGCTTGTCGTGTAAGATTCCTAAAAAAACGTTAAAAATGTATGAAATTCTCTAAAAAGGGCTCTAAATTTTATTTTAAATTCTAAAAAAAATTCCACTAGATATGTTTGGAGTTTTTGGGTTGGATGAGGGATGATGGGAAAAAAAAAACTTTTTTGGGTTTTTTAATATGTCTAATGAGCAGGCTCCAACCATTCTCATTCGGCCGGAATATTACGATTTCTAGCGCTTAATTCCCGCATTCTGACGGCCAAGGTTATATTTCTTATTTGCAGGTTGACACTGATACATATTTGCACTGATTGTTCGCTTGGGACACATTGTTTTTTTCAGGCATGTTACTGGTATGGATACAGCGCAGTTCAGACAGGCGCTCGTCTGCCAAGGTGTCGCCGCTAGTTTGTCTGTTAATCAGACAATGGTTGTAGGGTTGAGATAGTGTTATCAGACATGAGAATATGGCCCACAGTATGCCCCAGAATGCAGGAAAATGGCTTAAATATTTCGAAACTTTCTGGCGGGGCATGCCCCCAGACCCCCCTAGCACTGGCATGCCTACGGCACGCGGGCCTGCATGAGGCAGCCAAGGTACATTTCGCCCCCCACTGTCCATCAATTTCTGAATACACCACTAGTTACTGATCACCGCGGGAACATTCCGCATTTGGAGTTCACAGGGTTGGAGACCCTGCTAATGGATGTTTTCTAGTTATCTTTATATAGAGTGAGTATTGTGACTCAGTCTACCAGTGATTCCTAAGCTTCAGTGTCTGATTATACGACCCTGTTCCTGGCTGGATGTACAAGACATGCCTAATTTGCATGAAACTTGATGATGTACAGTCGTATCGAGGAATTGGAGGATAGGAATAGCTGGTAGACTGGACACGTACAACATAGGACTGTATCTGTAAGTTAACACGTTGATGTTTATGAAAGGTAAGGGACTTATTTTATCCCTAAAATGTTTCGATTCATCCCTAAAAATCCCTAAAATAGTCCTTAAAAAACCAGAATTTCTCCCTAAAATTAGCCCTAAAATGTTGTCAAGGACTGCTGGAAAGCCTGGCACATAGATCGAAAACTGGATAACTTATATGCTTGCTTGCGTTGGTAAGTACACTTGTACTCTTTTACCTTAGTTAATTGTATTTCGATTTGAAAATTTGTTGCTAACAATTTCCCTCAGGCTCTGACATCGGCCATTTCGAGCCTGTCGCTACGTCACGATTCCGACACTTGCGCGCACGTCACCTGACGTCACGCATGGGACGATGGATGGCCGATGTCAGAGGGAAATTGTTAGCAACAAATTTTAACATCGAAATACAATTAACTAAGGTAAAAGAGTACAAGTGTACAAGTTTTACCAACGCGAGCAAGCATATAAGTTATCCAGTTTTCGATCTATGTGCGTCAGGTCTTGATTGATAGCTCCAAAATTGTGTGAGTTTGGAGCGATGAAACAGCGATTCTCGGCGGGATCGGAGAAATTCCACGTTTTGTATAGGCAAGTTGTTCTGATCACACCAAATCCACCAAATTCGTCGGTGTGAGCATTAGTCAGACGAATCTCAGACTACATTAACCCCTGCTCAGATCTGAGTAACTCTTTTTAACGGTGGTCTTACACAGTGCTGAGTACGTGTCTGCCACCAGTTTAATGCTCCTACTAATATGCGTACTGTGTTATTGCAGTTTAGTAACTTATTTGCAGTGTATTTGTAGCTAAATGCATTTTTACTGGCTTTATTAGCTCATCTGACATAGTCAGATGCAGCTTGTAGAATCGCATGATCGTCCGTCCGTGCGTCCGTGCGTGCGTCCGTCTGTCAACAGTTGGGCACAAATCTTAACCGCTCGACGGTACCTTCCGGTCCGTTTCGCGGGCGTGGGGGCGCTAATCGAAACGAGTTGGGATGTCGAAGCTGGGGTCAAAGGTCAAAGGTCAAGAGGTGTAAGGGGGAAATTCACTCCTTAACTTAAGGTATAGGAGGAAATGCAGAATTGCGGCAAAAATCTAAATGGCTCGACCTAGGCTTGTGATAGTCGGTGATATAGACTCATGGTAGGAAAGCCATCACTGTGCCGAAATTGGAGGTCAAAGGTCAATGGGCACAGGGCAGTTTTAGACATTTTCTGAGGACATGGTCTGACGGGCAATTGAAAAACTTTTTTGTCTTCAGCGGTGACCTACATTTTTATGGCTTTATTGAAAGGACATTGAATGTGCTTTCACTGAACGTGCGAAGAGTAAAGGCCTATTTACACGATGCGTTTTGGACGTACGTTCTAGACGTACGTCAGACGCATACGTCCAAAACGCACCGTGTAAACTATGCGTACGACACGATTTTATTGACCGTTGCGGTCGGGCACAGGACGCATGTTCTAAATTCATCCGAGATCGTAACCAGGACGCAAGAACCGACCATCAGGTGGGCGAGATTGGGTCACGTGCTTGGGTCACGCGCTTGGGTCACGTCTCTTCGCGATGAAAAATGTCTGTATCGAGATGAATCATTACTATGGGAATGTCCCACAACTACATAAAAGTAGTGTGCCGTGTGTGTGTGGTGTGTGTGTGCGCGTGGTGTGTGCGTGTGTAGGGGTGCGTTGTCTGGTGTGCGCGCAGTGTGCGCGCGTGTGTGTGTGTATGTGTGCTGTGTGTGTGTGTGTTGTGTGTGTGTGTGCGCGCGGTGCGCGCGTGTGTGTGTGTGTGTCGTGTGTGTGTGTCTGTGTGGCCGCGCCGTCGCGTGTGCGTGTGCGTGTGGTGTGCGTGTGTGTGCGTGCGGTGTGTGCGTGTGTGTGCGTGTGCGCGCGTGTGTGTGTGGTGTGTGCGCGCGCGCGTGTGTGTGTGCGTGCGGTGTGTGTCTGTCTGTGTGTGTGTGTTTCTGTGTGTGCACCGCGCGTGTGTTGTGTGTGTGTGTGTGTGTGTGTGAGTGTGTGTGCGCGGCGCGCGCTTGCGTGTGTGTGTGTGTGTGTGGGTGTGTGTGTGTGTGTGTGTGTGTGTGCATGGACACAGCCACTGTAAATGTCGGCAGGCAGCACGCCGCTCTCTCGTTAAGTGGCGTACGCACGCACGCACGCACGCACGCACGCACACACGCACACGCACACACGTACACACGCACACACGCACCGACACACATTGCGATGTGCGTGCGCGTGCCTGAGTGTGGTGGCGTACGCGCACACGCCCACACACACGCACATAATCACACACACCAACGCACACGCACACGTCACACGCACACGCACACGCGACACGCACACGCACACGCACACGCACACGCACACACACACACACGCGCCACGCACACGCACACGCACACACACCCAACACACCACAACACAATGCATGTATTATTTTGTTCTCAGTCCTGGGACGTACGTCCAAAACTTACGCTGTAACAGATTCACCGTTGGTCCTAGACGTACGTGCAAATCGGCATAAGTCCTGGACGTACGTCTAGACGCATCGTGTAAATAGGCCTTAGTGTCTGATAACTTTGCCATCAGAGGAGGGATTTAAACATGGAATTGTTAACTGTACTGTGTTAGAAGAGATTTTGACTGCTGGGTTTGCTAGTAGAATCTATAGATGCCTGGATGTTATGAGGCTACAATGTCACAGTGAAATTTCAAAGATAAATTGCTTGAAGAAGGTTTATGCTCTTTAAAATCGTATAATTTCTATTGCATTCTGTACTGTTCAGTGTGTTAATATGCGCTGCCAGTGGCACTGCCAGTGCATGTGGTGTGATAGTATGGTGTAGTTTTGCCTGCGTTATTAGGTACAGGTGGCAGCTCTCTATTGCAGCCTGTAGGAGGGTAAAATTGATTTGTTTCTCAACTGCGTTGGCGAGTACCTGTGGTTGTGGAAGCTCCCATTTTACAGTGAAATCCACACATAACTCTTACTTGAACAAGCTTACTTAGGAGATAATGAGATGAGTTATATATGAGATTCTGTAGTGTACATTATGAATAGTTGGAATAGTCACTAGCACTCAAATAATTCCAGGAGTGAGGCTGTGGGATTCCCAGACTTAATTTTCTCATCAATTTTGGCACAATATAGACGCAAATGTGTACGTTCTTGAGCTTTATTTCGGTCCACTAATCACTGGCCTACTTGTTTTGTTTTTGTTTTAATAGGGTTAGGGTCACAATGCACATAAACATTAGTTTCAGGCACGCGATTTGTATACCATGCGGATTTGGAAGTTATGCAGAATGCAGAAGGTTGCTGAAATGATGTGTACGCAACTGCGTATCTGCATATCTGCGCCTAACAAAGGTGTCACTACGCACAACTTAAATGTTACGTTTATAACCGTAGCAACAGACCTCAGATGAGCCCAGACGCTCTGCGGCTCTTGTATTATTATTAGCTCTAGTACTATATATAGCCCGCGTACAGTTGCCGCAGGGCTATAGAACATTCTATTACAAATGCTAGGGACCAACCCGCTGACTGGGGCTGCTCCAGCGCCACCAAAAATGGCCGTTTGAAGTTCGTAAATAATGTTCGATTACAAGAGATACCGCAAGCAGCCCATTTCAACGATAGTTAGAGGTTAAATGTTGGTAACTTAAGATACCAACTTCGGATCAACTTAAGATACCAACTTCATTCACTTCGGATAAGAGGCATTAATTGCCTACCACAGACGTTTTATAGCCACGAGTAACCGTGAATAAGTTGGTCCCTAGCATTCGTAATAGAATGTTCTATAGCCCTGCGGCAACTGTACGTGGGTAGACTACTAGAGCTAGCTTCATATTATACTAGTTACTACTCCTAGATTCCTCCATGCTTATCGATATCCATTCCTCTATATGTTATTGTGATGCTGTGTCGACCTTGTCTAGTTTTAATCATCAGTCATAACAGGGATATAATTTATAAATTTAACGACTTGTTAGGTGCAACTGCTGCCAAAGATGAGCTTGATGACAAGAAGCACCCAGAACTACGGCCGATATATTTGGATGTAGCTGCCACGACATCGTTGGTTAGTATGCTAGCAGCTAAACCAAGTATATTTTAATTTTATAATTTGCTTATATGTGTTCTTTATTGCTATGCTGGATGATATTTTGAATGGGAATGAATGAGAAAAATAGCAGGTGCGCAATTAGCCCCATTATTATATAATACCGCAATATAGCTCATTTACCTCTATATACATATCATTTAAATGTGGATGTTTGCAATATAATATGCTATATTTACATTAATTTAATGTGGGTTTGGTCCACCAATTCAATCCTTAATCATTGTAAGTTCCACAAATACCAAACTGGTTATAAATAAAATGTATATAGTCACACGAATTTATTAAGAGCTTTGAGGTAGGGTTAGTATAATTGTGCCTATGTTAGATACAATATTTCCATATAATCATGATAGGTATGGTATCCGTGCATTGATGTAAACAAGAGTTTATATGTTCAATCGGATTTACTGATAAAATGTTTCCTAATGTGTAATACGTGCCCAAAAGATATCAGTAAGTTATTTGCATTCAGTAAACTACACGTGTTACATATGTTTATTGTCTATGTTCCATTTATTTCTACAGGATCCTCGAGTACTAGATTCTATGCTTCCATATTTTGTCCATTACTATGGAAATCCTCACTCCAGAACTCATGCCTTTGGCTGGGAAAGTGAGTTGGCAATGGAGAATGCAAGAAAGGTGAGAATTAGGAATGTGGTTACGTTTCCTCTAGTTTACATGGGTGTGTCACCTAACCTGTTCAATAAACATATAGAACATAGCATTGAATTACATTGGGTTATTTATCAACAACATCATAGCTTCACGTAAGTAGATGCCCCCTGCTACAATCTGTCAAATAAGATTATCTTTGATAAAATGCCTGTTGGTACTAGTTCTAGTGCATTGTAAACATACATAGAAAAGCTGCCACGATCTTTTTAGAATTTAATTGGCAGCACTGTCATGTTGGATATGTAATTATTCACACGTCTTCCTCTTAGTGAGGTCTTACACCTCTGTGCTTATTAGCTATCGAATGACGATCATGGAGCAAGTATGGGGATACTGTAGGGAGAAACATTCATGACGCTTTCATAGTAATAGCTGTGTAACAGTAATATGGTAAGTATGTAGAATCCATTGATATTCCGACGACTTTGTATAGTATTCGAATTATTGTCATTCTAGGAGGTTGCCAGTATCATAGGTGCCGATCCAAAGGAAATCGTCTTTACAAGTGGCGCTACAGAATCTAACAATATTGCGATAAAAGGAGTTGCCAGGTTCTATAAAGGGAAAAAGAAGCACGTTGTTACAACACAAACAGTGAGTTACAATATTATATTTATAGCAGTGTCCTAAATTAATTAAGAACACATTAGGTGAGCTGGGTCTGTAGATTTATATCGCCCTACATTCACATTAGAACGATTATCACTTGTCTCGTCGTTAACTCTCCTAAATAATAATCAAGGTCAAAAGTAGCAAGCTACCATGAAATTTTATCATTAACATATTAATTAGTGTTAAAAAATATACATCTCACATAATTCCATTATAAATTTTAAAATATGACAAAAAGAATTATAATTTATATCTAAGTTATTTCTTGATCGCACAGAACAATATTATTTGGTGTTTTAGGTTGTTATGTTGGTTGCTTGGCTAAAAACTATCGGATCTCTCTCTTTCTACTAATTATCTATTGCCAAGTGTTGCCTGCTACAATACTGCCTAGGTAGCATGTATTATAAACATATATATATATGTGTGGTAGAGTACATTGTTATTGAATCCATATATATACATATATTTATATTAAAAAAAAAATTATTTGCTACTCTGCCACTGCCAGTGTAGTTATACCTCATTTGGAGTTGCATGCTCTCAATGCGCATGGTAGAGTACATTGTTATTGATTCCATATATATATATATATTATATATATTATATACTATACTATATATATATATTATTAATCTTTTTTTATTATGCTATGCCAGTGTAGTTATACCTCATTCAGTTGCATGCCCTTCAATGAAATGGTGCTATAGTAGATCGTGGTTGTTTGTTTAAGGAGCACAAGTGTGTTCTGGATTCGTGTCGGACACTCGAGTTGGACGGCTTTGATGTTACATACCTACCTGTACAGCAGAATGGAATAATCGACCTGGAGGTAGGCCCACCAGTCAGCACCAACTGCAGGAGAAATTATTGCGAGGAATTTTTTTTAATAAACATGATTGATTAGTCCAACATTACCCTATTCAATGTCGTGAATTTTGTAGCGATAAGAGGAAAGGATGGTTAAAGCACAGGATAATGGATATTGGATACTACTCGAGCATATGCCATGAGCGGTATTATTCATTGGCTTTTTGATTGCTGTTTTTGTGCTGTTTGTAATCCAACTTGTGCTTATATTTGAAGGCTACCCTCTGGAATTGTGGTTACCTATATGATATTGGTTATTACGTGTAGGTATTCGAGTCGTCTCTTAAGCCTGAAACATCTCTCGTGAGCATCATGACAGTGAACAATGAGATTGGAGTCAGACAACCAGTAGAGGAAATAGGTAACACATCACTGAAGGTCGAGTGAATAAACTTTACACATGGGTTGATAGTTAGGTGGATGGATGCAGGATTGGATGTAATGACCTCATGGACTTAAAATTAATGTCACAAGTGTGTGAGCACATCCTTGTATATTAGCAGTGATGCATCGTTAAGTGGCTGTAGGATGGATGTTGCCATGGTTACAGGAATCTGATGTAGTTTGTATTTGTAGAATATTACGTTGTTATCATATATACATCAATATACATATAAATATATATATATATATATATTTATATACATATAACAATATATACATATATATGTATATATTGAGTATCAAATATGCAGCACATAGGAACTTACTTATATAATACATATTACCACGAATTGTGTGGAGTTATATTAGATGGAAGGCATATTGCAATAACTTGGATCATTGTTTTAGGTGCAATATGCAGGAAGAAGAAGGTGTTTTTCCACACAGATGCAGCACAGGCAGTTGGGAAAATCCCGATGGATGTGAACAAAATGAACATAGATCTGATGTCCATCAGTGGTCACAAATTATACGGCCCAAAAGGTAAGTTGCTTTCTAACTAGTGTACTGTGATTACTTTATGCAAAAGAAAAAGCTTATCATATCTTTTTTTACTTGTTATGTTAGCACATAGCTTTGGATGTTCAATCAATCAAGATCACATTTATAGGTGTATACCTATAGATTATTTTATTAGGAATAAATGATCACAAAAATTTGCGATTATTTACTGCTGATTTTATGTCACACTTTAAATTTCATTATTAAAGTAAATTGCGATCTTGTTGCATATATAGATGATTCTAAAATTTCTAAGCTAGTTAATATGTCGTAATCTTTTACAACACAAAACTTACTATCATAATATACCCTAAAATTCTAGGGTGTAGTATACCTTTAATGTGTCGTAATTTTTTGCAGGTGTTGGGGTGTTGTATGTTCGCCGCAGGCCTCGTGTCAGAGTAGAACCTATCCAGAGTGGTGGTGGGCAGGAGAGAGGAATGCGAAGTGGCACGGTACCGACACCCCTCGTTGTTGGCATGGGAGCAGCTTGTAGAATAGCCCAAGAGGAGATGGAGGTAGTCTAATTCTGATAATCTCATTCTGCATGAGGTGAAGTTTGTAGGTTAACGTATTCTTCAGCTTCAAAATGTATTTTTCTCGTACTATTGCTATGAAGTGTTGGCAGTTATATAAAGCATATAAGATTTGTTGGCACAGTACTGACATCTCTTGTTGTTGGCATGGGAGCAGCTTGTAGGATAGCCCAAGATGAGATCAAGATGGAGGCAGTCTAATTCTGCATGAGTTGAATTTTATAGGTTAAAGTATTCTTCACATTCAAAATGTCTTTCGTCATGGTATTGTTATGAAGTGTTATTAGTTATGTGAAGCGTATACGATTTGTTGTCACTGTTTCTCATGCAGTATGACCACGATTGGGTGAAGCAACTATCAGATAGGCTGGTTACCAGGTTGACATCTGCGCTACCAAATGTTGTGAGAAATGGTGACCCAGCTCAATCATACGCTGGTAAGAATCTTATTATAAATAGAACATTACATAAACAGGGGTTACTCTGGGAAATTGAAAAGGATAGCCAAAAAAATAGCCAACTGATTTTTTGGTAGACTATGTTAATAACCTGTAGTAATTTTTTGTCCACATAATTTCGTTCGCAGAATTTATGCATAACACGTTCTCAGCTCTGTGATGCTTGTAGGAGGGTTAGAATCTAGACCTTTGCTTGCTGTGAGTTGCCAATTACCCAGTTTTGGTCACTTTTAGCCAAAAAAATAGCTAGTCTAATGTTTTTATAGCCAGTACAAAAAAGTGTAGCAATTGGCTATTTTGGCGAGTGGTAGAGCAACCCCTGCATAAAGGTCTTGTAGAGCATCTCCACTGTTCAAGTTGGGCAGAAGGGTTCTTTGTTTTCCAGCATAGATGATTGTGTCTTGGATTAGGCATGCATATGTTTTCAGGCTGTGTCAATCTGTCATTTGCCTTCGTGGAGGGAGAGAGCTTACTCATGGCACTGAAGGACATTGCTCTATCGTCTGGAAGGTAAAAATATCTGACCCTCATTATTATTCAGCAATGCGAGTTTATGAGAAAAATCAAATGAACAAAGGAACAAACACTTACAACAAATGCAAATATTATTCATAAGAATGAAGTACTTCTCACAGGTTACATGTCGATAACTACAAATAGCACGTCTTATCGTTGTGATCATTAGTAAGAGGAAAAAAAGACCTGCATTTCATTAGCCCGCATTAACCCACGACCACTCATGGATGTACGCATGGCAGTGCTAATCATCAGCATGTGTTTTCAGTGCGTGTACGTCTGCGTCATTGGAGCCTTCGTACGTGCTGCGTGCCATAGGAGCCGATGAAGACTTGGCACACTCCTCCATAAGGTACGCCGCGGCGTGTTTTCGTTATTCCATGAGACTCGTGAACCTTTACAGGAATATTTTCGAAATTCTTGCTCAGAAACGCTCGATCCAAAAAAAATATAGCGAGATATAGTCTCACCTCACAGCGGATATATCACCGATTACACTAACTTGAAAAATACTAAGATTTTATGGAGTTATAGCATAGAAAATTGTAATGAAAATGAATTTTCATTGAAAATCGTAACACACTGAAATTTTATCGCAAATTTTTATTTATTTTGCTGCGAGAATGTCAGAATGTGTCAACTTGTAATTTGTCAGTGCAAACGAGATTTTGCGAGAGACGTGTAAGTCTATGGACGATAGTTGACGTAAGTAGCGCTACTAACTGGTCCAAGATTACAAGAAAAGGCTCGCTAGTAATCGAACTGCATGTTTTGGTGAATACGAAGGTTCTAATACATTTCATCGTTACTCTAGACAGTTGCTGTTACTCAAGCAATAACGGTAGGTGTCATAAAAGTGGGGAAAACACTGGATAATTCTCGCAATTATGGCGTTAATGGTAGCAGTGGCTTCACTGATGTCGTATTACACACTTTATTGCTGCTATTTGCATTTGCGTGTGTACACATGGCGCGCTAGCAAGCAACCACGACGTTGTGCCGTTGTGGTTGCAGCAAGCCAACGATCTGCTTTTCTGTTTGTACAGATTCGGGATCGGTCGCTTCACGACGGAAGAAGAGGTGGACTATACAGTGGATAAGTGTATAGATGCTGTTCAGAAACTCAGAGAGCTCAGGTACGTGCATGCTCATTGCACCGTGGGAATGCGCACTGCAGTCTACATGCATATTAGTTAAGAGGTGTAAGAGGGCAACATATATAATAATGTTCTGGGGCCCGTTGTCAGAAACAAAATTAGTCTTAAAGGACAATTGAAGTCAAATTTTATAACTTCTGTAACGTTTTTATACATAGAAATACATTCAATAACGTATTCCATTTCAAATCCGGCGCCCAATTTGTAAGAAACACACGAATATTAATCTAGGTCATGTGACGTCACAGCCCCAAAGTCACTTGCTTCATTCAGACATCCCTGTTGAAACACGCCATTAGATATAGCGTAACAGTGCTAACACGCTATAGTATATGTTATGCTAGGTGAAAGTATTGTTACAGATGCATTTTTATGCGCCATTTATTGAAAGCGGCATGAAATTCTTTCTGCCTGACATGCGGAAGAGTAAGTGTCGATAACCTTTTGACCCTCAAGAGGAGGGTAAAGCTCGGATTGTTGACGTGTCAAATCAACGGACTGAAGTCTCTTTGGCTATTTATTATCGCAGCCCATTACCTGTGTCAATGCTGAGGCTACAGTTGCACAGTGTTAATTGCCAAAGGCAAATGTTTGTTTGAACAAGGTTTTACGCTCCTTAAATGCATATTGATTTTCTAAAGCAGTGTGTCTATAGCCAACCCTGCCATTAGGCGCTGCAGGTGAATCAGTGAATGCTCACAAGGCAAAAACACAGTGAGCAGCCCATGGCTGGCACGGCTTCTTATCATAATTGTGCCTGCCAACCTGCAATGCACCTGTTCACTGCAACAGGCTTGAGCGACCTGCCTGAATATTACTTACTTGGATTTTAGCCTGCTACCTACTGTACGATTTGATGAACGATGCCATATCTTTGATTATTGATTACACTTGCACGCGCCATCTCGTGGCAACTATAGGCGCTAGTTTAAATTAAGATTTTTATTCTCATGTAACTTTGTTAAACGAACTAAATAATAACTAGTAGCCATATTATAATATATAATATTTAACTTTTCATCTTGAATCTTAACATATATCATGGTAGGCTATGGCCGTGACGTATCCATTTACCATTGCTCGCGAACATAAGCTGTTACCATAGAAATATTAGACGACACTATATATATATGATTTCTATGACTGTTACACTCAGGGCATAGGAGAAGAGCATTATTAACGGGGCAGTAAAGGCATCATCGCTGCGGTTTTAATTTTTTTCTATTAATTAAGAGAGAGAGAAAGTTAGATAAGAGAGAGAGAGAAGTAGTAAATTGAGACGGGGACAGCGAAAACGGTGATACGGTGTGTATGCGAGCGGAAACGCGGGGTACAATTAGGTCGCTGCGAGATGTTGTGCAAGGGCGCATGGGAGGTGGAGGCAGGGGGCAGGCGAGGCGAAGGTAGGGGGAGGGAGAATGGGAGGCTAAGGGGGGAAGTGAGAGGCAAGCAGGAGTGAATGTGGCGGAGGCAGGGGAGGAGGGCGGGACCAGGTGGGGAGGGAGGTCGGGAGAGGAAGGCACCCCCTGCCCCCTCTAATTACAACTTCGAGATACATGCTCATGTGTTGAAATCTTTATATAGATAAGATAAAAAATAGATAAAGCTGTGAATCTAATGAACAAATTCGAAGGTGAAAGGCAAGTATCATTTTAATAAAATAAAACAAATCGGATGGGGGCGAGATAGTGAGCGTTGTCCTAACAATGATGTGCTAAACGCAACTGCGTATCTGCATATCGCTGCCCTAACAAATGTGTCACTACGCCCACGACTGAAGTTATAAACCGTAGCACAGACCCCAGATTGAGGCTCAGTCCGCTCTGGGCGCTCCTTGTTTGGTGCATAAGTTTCGTATTATGTATAGCACTATAGACTTCAACTGGTCGAAGTGTGGGAATCCTGCTGTGCCGACACAAGCTTGGAAAAGCCATTTCCTGACACAGCGTGGAGCTTAAAGGGAGTTGAGGCAGCCCTATCACCAAATGTGCGTCTGTCTGAGGTAAATCCATATAGATACTATACTGGTTTGATTTATTTTGCGTTCGATTTGGTGTGATCCGACCTGAAGCCTATAGCCCGCCGGATCGCTGCCGGCGCAGGCACTGCCCAGCGCACTGTGGCAGCGATGCGCGCGGGCTATAGTCAAGCGCTAAAAACAGGCTATGGCTTTGTAAAAAAAAACAGTCACTATTGATATATATATACATTTTAAATGCTTATTCATGCACGATTTCTCATTTTTATTGGACGCGCGTGTGTTACTCTTATTGATTTATTTAGTATTTTTTAATATATTTAGTTCGCTGAGATCTGCTGCAACAAGTCGCCAGATTTCAACACTATATTTCGTGAAATTAAGTCCATCTGCCAGTACGCGTGTAAAACAATGTCATGTAGCCTAATCTTGGCAGTGCTTGCCACTGCAACTCCGTATA